TTTTTTTTTTAAGTTGCGGTAACATGGGTTTGCAACACTATATATGATTTAGGGGAGCAGATTTCCCACCTGTTCAGATGTGGGTCGCCATACCATGAAGACACCCATGGTCCTCCACTGAAGACAATTGGGCGAAGGCTCTCTTTTCTCCACACCTTTACCAACAGTTGATGTTTCTGGATTTTTTGATCCAGGCCATTCTCACAGAAGTGAGGTGTCATCTCACTGTGACTTTGAGGTGCATTCTCCTGGATATAAGTAATTCTGAACACTTTTTCATGGGCCTGTTGGCCCGTGTTCATCTTCTTTGAAGAAATGTCTGTTACTCTTTTGAACATTCTCTTTCTTTAGTGGTTTATTTATTTATATATACAAGAACTGGGGTACAGGCCAAAGGTGGTGGAGGGGTGGGAGGACTCCCCAGAGACAGAACAGGCAGACTGACTGCTGAGGGGAGCAGCGGATCACACAGGAGAGGTCTGCCTCACCGTGTGGTCAGCTCCCTGGCCGGGACGGAACTGGTGCCGTGCCTCAGTGGCTGCGACAGCCTCACAGCACTGTACTTTAACCCCTTGCACCACCAGGGAAGGCTCCTTGAGAACATTCTTTCTGGCCACCTCTGAGTTGGTAAATACTGCCCTGATGTCCTGCCTCTCTCCCCTGGCATCTCTCCCCTCTGTTAGCCTCTCCCAGAACCCCCTTCCTGTTCTAGTCTGCAACTTGAAGAACAGAGAGGATACCTCTCCTTCCTCCCTCAGTGGCCCCTCTTCTCAGGCTTCCTCTCATCCCTCCTGCCCTTCTTTCCTCTCCAGCCCCAACTAGAGTCTAGGGCCTGCAGGAGCAGGCCGGGTGGGCTGTGGGGAGGAGGGGACGGTCCTGAGTCTCCACTTCACACTGCCCACTGCCGTCCAGCCAGCCGCAGCAGACCCTCCCGACCAAGACCACCTCTTCCCTCCCTCCCTCCCTCTAGTGTCCTTGGAGCTCAGACGCCCCTGCCCCCTCCCAGTCCTTGTCTGCCCTGGGTTCCATCGCTGTGGAGTTGGAAGAGGGGGAGATGTGTAAAAGGAGCAGGAAGTCATCCCATCCTAAGCCCTTTGGAAGCCTGAAATCAGAAGCTGGAAAGGGCTGTTTCCCCTGGAGAGGGCCTGGGGAGTTGCCACGGGGCCAGCGGGAGCTGTGGGCCTGGCCTTATGTCTGCTGGAGCTGTGATGGCAGAGACTCCTGAGGGAACAAAGCTCTGCACCCCCAAGCCCCTTGGCACAGGAAAGAGGCTCCACATTCCAGGTCATTCTGATGAGTGGTCACTGAAGGGGCAAGGGAAAAAATCAGAGCGTAAGCCCCACTTCCTAGTGGGGTCCTGGGCTCCTGATGCCTGCTTGCAGGTCAGGGTGGAGGCCGCAGCCACACCAGCCGCCTGCAGGGGGCCTCTGTCCCTGGGAGATCAGTGAGCTATGCGTGAGCACAGATGGCTCAGAGCTGCAGGCCTGGGAGGCAGCGTCCACCTTCCTGACCCCAGGGGGCAGATGGACCCGACAGAGCCAGAGCCGGGAGGTCGGGCTCCCTCTCGGGAGAAGGTGCGAGAAGGGGGGCTAGAGAGCTCCTGGGAGCCAGGACCACGTGGCACATCTCTGAAATCACCTGCCTGGCCACATGAACTCTTTCTTGGAAGGTGTTTGTTGAACAGAAAATAGAATTTCATGGACCAGCTCCTTTTACAGGTTTCCCAAGACAGTTATTGCACAAGATCGGGCAATTATAAGAGTAATAAAAGCTTTTATAAACCTTATGATTGATGCAGAGCGAGTTTATAGGAGCAGCTTGTCTCCCAAGCAAGGTTCGTCTTTCCTGTGGCAGTAGGTAGCAGATGGACTTGTTTCCAGGCACTAAAATGGCGGGGCCCTTTCACCAACAGGGCTGTTTGAGGTCCGAGCCCAGGAGTACCTGGAGACGCTCCCCAGCGGGGAGCACAGCGGAGTCAATAAATTCCTCAAGGGACTAGGTAAGGCCCCGCTCACAGCCCTGTCCCCAAGGTGTCAAAGGAGCCGTGTGTGTCCCCTCTGTTTCCCCGGCCCTTGCTGTCGTCCTGCCCCCTCCCGCTCTTCAGCCTTCTGGGAGTTGAGCGTAACAGGCATAAGCTTTCTGACAGAAAGGCCTGGACCAGTCTCCAGGCCCCCTGAAATTGGACATGTAAGGCTTGTAAGGATCCTGGCCTAGAAGCCATGATCAGTACAAAAAATACCTTTCCTGGAGAAGGGAGGGCAAAGAAGAAAGCAGAAAACAGGAGAAGGGACAGAACCCGGACGGTAAACCTGTGGTGATGAGGCCCACAGGGAGGAACAAATGATGTCTCCCCACAACCTGCCCTACACACACATCCCCCCGCACACCACACCCCCGCCACACCACACACAACGTACCCCACACAACCCCACACCCCACATGCACAGCCCCCACAACCACCCCATACATACACCCCACATGCACCCCCACAACCCCTATCCACATTCCCACACACAACCCCACACATACCACACACACACCACACACACCACACACCCCCCTGCACACACATCACAAACCCCTCATACACACCACACACACCACACACACACACCACACACACGCATCACACACCCCCCATACACACCACACACACCCCCTACACATACGCACACACACGCCGCCAGGAGTTTTTGCCTCACTTGGCTCCTCAGGGTTTGCTCTTCAGAAGCAGGCCTCCTCCACAGCTCTGACCCTCATCCCTCATTCCCTCCCCAGATGAGGGAAGGGGAAGTGAATTCCCCTTGCCTGGGAAGGTACATGAGGCACTGTGGGGGGGGGGTGACCCTAGGAAATGTCTCTCCCCAACCTCTGCGGAGCACCGGGGCGAGCCTCTGGGCCTGTGGGGGCAGGCCACAGCTGTCCACACCGTGCCCGGGAGGAAGAGAGCCGGGTTCAGCTCAGTCCCCGTCCTCTTGGCGACATCTCCTCTTCTTCTTTTAGGCAATAAAATGAAGTTTCTCCACAAGAAATAACCCTCAGCTCACCCTCAAGGGAAAACTTCCTCTTGGTGCAACCACTGTTTTAGGAGCATTTCTGATGGCCCCTCTGAAACGCTGGCCTCGGCCTCCCCGGTGCTGCGCCATGGCTGATGGCTTCCCGCCACGCAGCCCCGCCAGAGCCGCCTGGAGGTGCCGCTGCCTCTGAACAGCACTGAAGGGGACCGGAGGCCCACGTCAGATGGATGGTTTTGGTCGTTGGCTTTTGGATTCTTGGTATTTTTAATCGTAGATATTAAAAAAGGAAACGTATTTGGGTTTTTTTTTATTATGCCAGGGCTAAGAGAAACCTCCCCTGCCTCTGTCATATGTTTTCCTTGGCTCATCCTGCCTGGCAGCTGGACTGTGCAGCCCAGTGGAAAGGGGGGGGGAGGGTCAGCCAGCAGGGGCCCAGTCAAGTGTTCCTCTGGACAAAGCTGGGAACAGGCGGGGTGCTGGTGCGGCACCCCCAGCTCCGGGACTGGAGCCCTCTTGGGAAAGGATTGGCCTGTGGCGGAGTGGAGCCAGGTCTGGGGCTGAAGGCAGAAGGGGAACCTGAGGGAAGTGGTTTCGCTGGGGGAGCCTGGCCTGCGGGCGGACGGGCGGGCCAGCCGGTGATGCCTTCTGCTGGCCACGCACCTCTTCAGACCTGCCTCTCAGAAGCCACGCTCCGTCCAGGGCACACACCGAAAGTGGACATCCCGTGTTCAGATCTCCCCGAAAATGCTCGTGGGGCCTGAAGGCTGATGGTGCTGCCTGGGCGCCCTGAACTACGCCAGCCAGGCCTCGGTGCCCTTCCCACCTGCAGGGAGGAAACCTGCCCGTCTCCGGTGGGGCCAGAGCAGCGGACATGACCCCTGCGTGCAGGCTCACCGACTTGCACTGCTGATGTTAACACGAGGGAGGGAGGGAGCAGCCGAACTCGGGGACCCATCAAGCACTTGACTCCCCTGAGCAAGAGCAGAAAGGTGCAGGGGGAACTTCCGAGGCTGGGAGCTGGGAGAGAGCACAGAGGTGCAGCACCCGCTGGTTCTGCCACCGCCACGCGCCACACTGAGGAGCCCCTCTGGATGGAACCAGCCACCCCGAGATGCACAGAGGAGTAAGCTCTGACCTGGCCACAGGCCAGGAGTCTCTGCTGCCCGACAGGGTCTCCTCTTCTAGGAGCTGGGAGCAAGGGCTTTTCTGAGGAAAAAAGGAGAACGAGGCAGGGGCCGAGGTCCCAATCTACATCAGGGTTTCTCAGCCGGGGCCTTGGGGTACCCCTCTCTTGTATCCAGGATTTGTTATATCCATTCATTTTTCAGGGGCAAGGGTTCATCGTTTACATCGGATTCTCAAGCCAGCGCAACGCCCCCCCAAAATGGTAGGACCCAGGCTACATAAAAGTGAACCTAGGGGGGTGTGGCTGAGGGTTGGGGAGACCACTGAAAGAGAATCTCTGAGGGTGGGGCTCAGGAATTTGTGTCTAACACACTCCTCAGATTAGTTAACTTTATAAATACCAATATTATGCATATTTTTCTATTGCCCAGAGATGATCACTCTTAATATTTTGGAATATACTTTCTTTTCTAACTTATTTCATGTTATATTGTTTACTTAACATTTCCAAGTGAATAAATATACATCCTTACCCACATTTCTAGTGATTGGCTAATATTTTAATTGGGAGCTGTCTGGAATGTTGTCTGACCAACCCTCTCTGCTAATTCATGCAGGATCTCTCCAGTTGGTTTTTTTTCTTTCTTTCTTTTTAAGGTTTTATTTATTTATGCATACAAGAACTGGGGCACAGGCCAGAGGTGCAGGGGGAGAGAGGACTCACCAGAGACAGAGTGGGGAGCAGAACAGGCCAACTGAAGAAGTACACTGCTGAGGGGAGCAGCAGGGAGACAGGAGAGGTCTGCTGTGCCCTGTGGGTCAGCTCCCTGGCCAGGGGTTGAGCTTGTGCTCAGTGGCCATGGATAGCTTCACAGTGCTGTGTTTTTTAACACCTTGTACCACCAGGGAGGGCCCAGGATCTCTCCAGTTTTAACATCATAAAGAACACTGAGAAAAACGTCTTTGCATCTTAGCACATTGGCCCACTTTCATTTTGGCTTCAAGTAAATTCTACAACAGAAAAGTGCTCAGATCACGCCTCCACAACCTGAGAAAACTCCACCCACGGTCACATCCCAGTCAAGAACATCGTCACTCCCACCTGACTCAGCCGAGTTTTAAACTAAATCAGCTAACAGATGTCTGCAAAGTGACAGGCCAGGGAATGTCCGAGGCAAGAAAGCAAACAGCCGTATTGCTTGGT